CACACACACACACACACACACACACACATGCATGTACACACACATGCATGCACTTATACAAGTTATTGCAAAGTCACTTAATGCTTCTTACACCAAAGGCACACTTGTATTTTTGACCTAAGTTTTTGGTTTCACAGCCAAAATATGACTTGAATATTAATAATCTTTGGCTCTAGCTCATAAATAGAAATATTACATTGGACAGTAGTGGCACATCTGCGCTGTGCTCTCATGATCAACCACACAGACGATGGCTTTCATAACAAGGCAACTTCGGTCAGAGGCCTCACGCCACAATGCGTCCCCTGGAAACTACAAAGATGATCAGGGAGTTTTGTTTTGAGCATCTGGGATGTCTGCTAAGTGCTTCAGTCTTTCTGGCACACAGCGTGAAACACAATAAATGTCAAACAGCATGATTGCAGATCAGGACTCTACACATAGGTGACCTCGGCCTGCTGCCGCTGGTGGAAAACTTAGATGCATACTTTGAATTTTTACTTTTTTTGTGGTGTCATTCCAAACCTCTTTTTTGGTTTACACTGGCCTCGTCCAGATGCTTTTTAATTCTATCATGTTGGTGTTATAAAAGGGGACGGCTGCTATTTCAGAAAGAAATGGACTTGATTTGATAGAATAAAATAAAAAAGGTAAACTAACATCTCAAGGTTGGTGGCTTGTTTTACACCACTCAATTATTTATTGTATTGCGTTCATTCGTTTTCATTGCGGTAATTAATGTAACTAACTGTTTTAAATGCCTAAATTTATTACTTTCAAACATCTTCATCCAAACCACTTTCGGGAACCAGAGGTTTTCTGAGTTGACATGTCGTATAAATAACATTCAGAAAAGGCATATGGCACTAAATCCCCATGGGGTGAGTGGCTACACCAGTAAATTAAAACAAGACTCTTCTAATTTTACAGACTTAATCAACCACAGAGCTGGTTTTTATTTTAAATTATGATGTACAATACAGTTTCTATGACGCTCATATTGATCAGCTCAGTCCCACTTTTTTATGGGGAAAACACTGTGATGAATTCCTGTGACCAAAGGGATGCCAGAAAAATTAATCCACAACATCCTCAAATTGTAACAAAATGTCTGAATGGCTTCCTCACTGTGCAGCGCTTGAAAGGCCACGATGTTGTATCACTGTGATACTGAGCAGAGGTTTATTCCCAGAGAGCAGAGAGGGGAAGGAAAAGAGAAGATACAGTCTACTTGTTTTCTGAATGGAGGGTTTCAGAAGTACGACCAGGCTTTCATACTGAGACAATGGCTCATGTCCACCCTGCTGCGCTCGCCCTGCTCCTCTCCCTCCCCATTCTCCGTCCCTCTATCTGCCTCTGAGCAGAAACACACGGCACATCCTGCTCGACGCAGCGCACCAGCCAAAAGTTCACTTCCTGCTCCTCAGCTCTTCTCCTTCACACCAACCCTATTCCCAGGACATGCATTAACAGCCGCTTATATGCTTAAATAGCATAGGGACACACAAACAGACAAGAAAACGCTTCCCCTTGCTCTGGACACACCACCTTCCCCCGTCCGTCCATCTGTCGTACACATTGACACAATTAAACAAGTGGCAAAGAGTGCACATCCTACAGAACCGTTCAGCCATTATCTTGCTCTTCCCTCCTGCACAGATTTGAAGTGACAGTGGAAACAATTCATGTTATTTTAAGGGTGTAAGGAGGAGACAGATTTTCATTTAAACTCCTGAATGAGAGGGAGTGAGAAATTCCCACGACTGACATCCGCCCGTTGCTACGTTTTTAACACGTATGCATGTTTGTGGACTGAGTTGCTACTGTTAATAATGTTTGATTTGAAGTTATTCTTTCTTTTTTTTTTCTTCAAACCAAAACTTGAAGTATCAAGGAAAACAAGCAGGCTTCCTGTGTGTTTGTGTGCATGTGCGGCCTCAGCCTGACTCTCATCAAAAGTTCACTAACCTCTGGAGAAACAAGGTCAAACAATTTGAGTCGTTTTCAGACTCACCCAGAAAAAGCCACTGCTTGTCTGTTTAGAGAGCTGCCTCGTGTTTTGTGGGCAAACAGAAATTTCAAAGCTCTACACTCGTCACCTAGATTTTAACTGTACGTGTGGTTAGAATTGAAAAAAACAACAAAATGGCATCACGCTCACTAACATGTGGTTCAGAAATTCACAAACAGCCAGTTAAGATACTACCAAGATGTCTTTGCCTTATGTTATAACAATGGAATTGGTCAGACCGACACAAGCCTCTTCGAGGACAACACAATAGAAAATGTATACCGCATAGTAAAAATAACAACAAAAATGTTAATATCACATGTTATCTCTCCACCATTAAACTGTAACAAGAAATGTATAAACACAGAAATAACCACAGGTTTAACACAGGACCACTGCCTGTAAATTAGAAAATAAAAAAAGTGTGTGTGTGTATGTGTGTGTGTGTGTGTGTGTGTGTGTGTGTGTGTGATGATGTTGTTATCTGAGGGTTTACTAAAGTTTAGCATTTTCCCCATGCTGGGTTCAGTCCTGAGGTAAGCACCAGTTTCACATGCGCTGCTTTCAAAATGAAGTAAAGAAAAGTAAGTGACAGGAAACAACGTGTTTGATATGATCATATGCTACAGAAGAAGAAGCCCTTAAATTATTGTAACATTAAAAAAAACAATCCCAAAATGTCAGGCACATCGTCTGTGATTTTTTTAAGCCTTTAAGATTCACTACGTCTATCACAGTGTATTTATGGCTTTAGTCTTCACATTCACCCACTGAGGTTGGCGTTGGCACTATAGTGGTCAGACAATTTTAATCTAAGGACCAGTAAAAGTGTTAGAATAAAAAATAGACAAAAGGGCAGCCTGTTCTTTGGAATAAACATTCAAAGACAAGAATGTGCCTTCAACCCCGCAACCTTTAAGTGCTCTTTTGTTGTCAAGCTGGAGGAGCCGCTGGTCAGCCAACACAGAAATATGTCATTCTTTGTTTCCACGTTTGATACCAGCGCAGGGGGAAAGAAAAAAAACGGAGGCGAGGCTGAGGGGGGGGTACACTTGCTAAGCTGGGATGTGATGTTAATAAGTGGATCAGAGGGGTAAGATGGCAGGCATGAAATGGGACATCATGCTGGCGAGCAGTGCGAATTGTCCAGGAGAAAGTGAGATTTCACAGGGATTACTGAGCCACGGCAGCTGGGGAGTGCTGTTCACCCGTCGGCTTCCAGGGAAGACACACAAACCCCCTTCTTATTTTCATTTGACTGACAGATTAGCAGCTCACTCTGTGTGTGTGTGTGTGTGTGTGTGTCGTGTGGAGCACTTTTAAAGGCAAGGGCTGGGAACAGCATTGACTTTGGCCTGTCAACAGTAGCAGGACAGAAGACTACAGGGGAGGGAGGTCAGATGTGAGGTCGGACAGTGGATCAGAGCGGCGTCCAACCCGGCATTTGACTACTGCCGCTCCACCATTAATCATCACGCTGCTGCAAGTGGAGTAATTGCTCTTGACAGAGCTCTGTGTCATTAACTCTTGACCCAATCCTAGCCTCAGCTGCATCCGTAACTGCAAATATTACACAATGTCAGAGGCAACACCCATGCGTCGTCTACACCATGAGATGCAGGGATTAGTGTGTCATCAGTTGGGTATTTGCAATCATGTCCCAGCTATGAGATCACAGGGCCGTGCTTGCTGCATCGCAATAACAAGTGAGAGCTGTGGGAAGTCAGTCAAAATGCAAAGAAAGTTTTAGCTCGAGGAGGGTTACGCTCTGAGTTTATGGCTGCTTAAGCTACCGCTGCTGTCACATAGCTCGAGCCTTTACACACAAATATCAAGGGAAGTGGGTTACTTTAAAAAAATGTGGTCAAAATAGAGCAGAGGAGACTTTACTGAAAATGCTGAAGCGATTGCTCTTATTGTTGAGTTATTTCCTTGGGATGCAGGAAGATGGTGGGGAGAAGCTGGAGGGTCAGATACATAAATTGTCCAGTACCCGAAAAACAGAAAAGGAAAAAAAACAAGAAGAAAAATATATATCCTCCCATTACTTTAAAGTCCAGGAGAGCTGGTTTATTCATTTGATAAAAGTTCCGCTCAGGTCTGGACACAAACCCTGAATCTTGTCCATATGTGCTTTTTTTCATTTCTTGTACACAGATGAATAATCAATAGTACACAGGTTTAGGGTCTGATTGCAATGTTTCCTTGCAACAGTTTCTCTTTGGATTTCATCATGGTACAAAAATAAATAAAACAATTTCATTTTGGTTTTCAATTTGTAACTTTGGCTCAATGGCTGAAATAAAAAAAAGAAATGTTTGTTTGCATATACGCTGTACATAAATACTGTACTTCTTTGAGTGAGTGTCTCTTGGTCATGGAATAGCACAGACTTCCTTTATGAAGGAGGACTTTAAGATACATTAGATGCATAGAAAGGCACTGACAGTCTAAACGTTTTGGTGTGCATTAGCAGACCAGTTTCTTTTGGCCTGAGTCTGAGGTGCAGAGGAGGATATTGAGGTGAATGGCTTTAGAATACTGCAAGTTGTGTGTGCACACAGACCTATTGGCGACAGGTCACATGTCTTAGCTGGGTGAGTAGCGGTCAATGGTGCGGGCTTCTAGGGCCTGTGGGAGAGCGGGCAGGGGTTGTCCCAGGACATCCATCTTGTCGTGGGTGAGGCCCAGGTGCTCTGCGGCCAGTTTGGACAGCGGGTAGAGGCTCTCCAAGGCCTTTCCGTCCGCCACCAGCTGCTGAGCTTGGATGTGAAGTTCATTGGCCTTCTCCTGCTTCAGCCCAAGGTGCTCTGCTGTGTATTTACTCAGAGGATAGATGCCCTCTGCAAAGTCAAGCTTCAGTTTCAGATCTGCAGTCAGGCCCCCCGCACTCCCTCCGCTGCTGTGCATCTTCATGTGGCTGATGAGGTTGCGCTGCTGGGCGAACTTTCCCCCACACACCTGACATTCGTAGGGCTTTTCCCCGGAGTGGATGCGCATGTGCTCAGTGAGGCGATACTGGCGGGTGAATCGCATGCCACAGGAGTCGCAGGCAAAAGGTTTAAGGCCCAGGTGGCTACGCATGTGGCGCGTCATGGTACCACGCTGCGTGAACTTCTTGCCACAGATGCTGCAAGGGTAAGGCCGCGTCAGCCAGTGGGTCTTCTCGTGCTGCCGCAGAGTGGCTGGATCTTTGTAGGACTTTTCGCAGTTGGAACAGCGGTAGGGTCGGATCATCTCCCCGAGGCCCCCTGAATTCAGCCCCTGTCTCGACTTAGTCTCCAGATGGGACAGACTGTTTAAGCTGTTGCTGCTGTTTAGGCTCCCGTAGCCGTTTGTATTACTGCTGGCGTTTTTGGTGCTGCTGTTATTGCTGTTTCCCATCTCCCCACCAGAGTTGCCGTACAGCTCCTCTTCTGTGTGTGTCTCCACGTGTGCATTTAGCTGCTCTGAGCTCGGGAAGCCTTTGTCACAGGGAATGCAGACATACAGATTGTCCCCGAAGCTCTCTGGCTCATACGGCATGTGGAACCTCCCCATTGGTCCCGTAGGGGAGGGGCGGCCTTCACTGCTCCCTGTCTCCTCTGTCCCAGACCCGCTCTTGTCATCTGCTCCTTCACTCTCCTCCCCAACCTTGTGGTGGTTGTGATGCTGGTCTCCATTTTCACCCCCCTCCTCCTCATCCTCATCCTCATCTTCATCTTCAGCTGTATATGGCTCATGTTTCACCCAGCGGTAGATGTTGCCCATTTCCCTGCCTGCCTCGCCACCTTCCGTGGGGGTGTCAGGGCTGGGGGGGCATGGGTAGCGATCTGTGCCCTGGGAGCCTGAGCGGTGCAGGTGGGGAAGATGGGGGCCAAGAGGCTGGTTGAGATGGGGAAAATGTGGAGGAGTGAGGGAGCTTGTCTGGTCGGTGGACTCCATTTTTTCAGAGGGGAAAGCCCTGCCATTCGTCCCATGCATGGGACTAGTGCGGCCGCTCATAGTCCCGTCTCGCTCCTCATCGTTGTGAGTGTTTGCCAGATGGGAGTGAGAGGGTGTGTGCTGAGACTGGGAGTTGGGGCTTTTCTTAGAGAGATCAAGGCCATAGTTGGGGGAGCAGTTTCTCTCAGGATGGGCTGAACGCCCAAGTTGGGCAGGCAGAGCTGACTGCAGGGATGGGAACACCTGAGAGCCCTGGGCAGAGGTGGGAGCATACAACTCCCCAGCATGGATGGCTAATCGATGGGGAATTAGCTCCTCTAGTGGTGGTGCCCGGGGTGCATGGCTATTCAAAATTCCTCCTGGGGGGCAGGGTTGAATGACTGGAGTAGAAACTCTGTACCTGCCACCACTCCCTAACCCCATGCTATTTGGTCCCATCTTTGGATAGGGCAGAAATGCAGGGCCTGGGCGTGGAGGGTACTTGCCATGTCTTTTCATCTTCTTTTTGCACAACGCCACTAAGTCAAGCAGCTGAAGGTAGCTAGCTGCTGCCAGGACGGCCCCCAGATTGGGTTCAGTGGGAGAAGTGGGGTCTCCCTCAGCAAGGCGGCCTGTGTAGATGTAGTCCAGAATGACCCTGAACACGCCTGGACTCACCATCTCGTGGTCGAGGTTGATGAGATTGTCATGGACCACTAACGATTTCAAGTAGAGGCTGCTGGCGGCCAAAATGTTCTTGTGAGCTCTGAAGAGGGCGTTCTGCACCACAATGATAACATCACACAGGAAGCCCTTGGTGCGCTGGCTGTTGAGCTGCAGGAGGAGATCCCTAGCATGACTTGGAACGTCCATGGCATCCAGCATCGTCTTCAGTCCGCCACCTGCAATGAGAGATATCTGTAAAATATCATGCAGCAGTCAGCATTTCACTCCACAAAAGCAATGTTTCATTTCCAACATTACTGTTATTATCAATGATGAATTTATATAAGAAATCTATGAAAAGGTTAGGATTTACATACATGTGAAACATTTAAGTGTCAAAAGGTTTAACCACAAAATCTGCAGGAGCAATACAGACAGACAAAGACATCATAATAAAAAAGACTGGTCTGATGATTAATAAAGATGAATTAATTTGCAAAAACATTCGTTTTTATGCAAATTCATAATTACAGTTTTATTATTTTGATTTTATAGCCTTGTTTACTAATTAACAATCAGTGCCTTCAGTATTTGCTAAATCATGTTAACGTCATACATTAAGCTCTATGAGACGTGTGCAGGGAGCAGAACTCATGTGTGGGAAAAGAACATGCAGGCCACTCGGTGAAAGTGAACTTTTGCTGAAGGTGAGCTGCTGCAGTGGTTTTCTCATTATCAGAAATTCAACTGTATGCATTCACTTCCTCTGCAGCGAGCAAAAGAGAGAGAGCAGTAAAGCCAGAGAACCACAGATATATATTTTTGCAACTGCTGGCTTCCTGATAAAGTATTCTAGGAGTAATGTACAGATGTTTGAATAAAGCGAGCGATGAACGTTTCACAAATATGATGAACAGCAGGTATAAACGTGTGAGGGAAGGACACGTCCAAAAAAAGACGGGTCTCACGGCTCCGCACTCTGTCCAGTCATATAAGGAACACTGAGCGCGCAGGATGCAAATCAACCTTAGATGATTCAGTGCTGTACATTGAGATGAGCTCCAGGGATTTAATACGCACACACATACGCACACACTACGACATCAACGCTGACTGTTCCATCCAGCTTAAAATAAACTACATCAGCTGCGTGCATGAAACACAATGTATTGTTCAATCAGTGGCATCTGTTTACTTAAGGGATTAAACATCTTAAACTGTCCCTATGGGGTTGCACTGGCTGATGGGAAACAAGCAACTAAATAAATATCATGTCATCTGTCTGATCCCAGTCTTCCTGACACCAGCTCATTCACTCCTTGTTTATTTCATTCAGTCTACGTGCTCAGCACAAGAAGATGGAAATATGAATTAATTTTTTTACATCTGACTGAGGAATTCTGGAGAATCCTGAACAAAAGAAATCCCGCTTCTATTTTTCTCGCTCATTAGGACAGTTTTAGCTGCGTGTTTGTTTTAAATGCATGTTCAGCATCAGGCAGTTAACGTTATCACTGCTGTGACAAAGGAATAGTTACTGTCAGTATAACAACCAGATAGTGATGAACATCTTTTAAATATGAATTCAATTATTATTTAATATTCTGTGTTCAATTCTAAACACATGATTGAAGTGCTATTTATTACTTTATACTTTATTATTCAAAATTATCTTTAAAAAATAAATAAAAGAACAAAAACTGTGAATAAGAAGGCAGGTATGGCAGGTTTACGTTGGACTCACACTCATCATTTTCCACTGTTGTCATCTAAAGTGTTTCCACTTCTGGTTTCTGTCTGGCTTTGATTACGCCACAGTGGTACTCAACTACAAATATCAACGTCGGTCGGATCAAACGTGTTTAGAGACGAGTGTGATGCGAGGAACAGCGCGAGTCATTTCCATAACTGGCTGAACTTCTGCAGAGTCTCTACTGCGCTGAGGCTGGTTCAGCTCACTGGTTGCTGCATGGTGACTGCAGCGGGACGTGGTGACAGGTTGTGTACTAACACACACAATCACTGAGCAATCTTGACAGTATGCACCGTTATGTGACAGTTCATCCAAGAGCACAACAGAAAACTAAACCCAACTTTATATCTGGATTTGTTTGAAATATTTTAATCTACATTTGCAAATTTCTCTTTTTCTATTGGAGTCATGCAAAAAAGCAGCCTTTGTATGAATCTAGAATCTGCTGCAACTTGTTTTTGGTAGTCTTGTGGTAACAACTGTACAAGGTGGCTGTGGGATTCCCCATCAACACACTATCAAAATCAGGATAAAATCGCTATCCTCTTGCTGGGGTCAGTCTGATTCCTGTGTGACCCCACCACTTGCCTTTTTAAATCAGCTGACCTCACCGTTTGATGACAAAAAAAAAAGTGCAACATGTTTTTAAAAATCTCGATCTGGAGTGCATGTGTAAGCTCACTGCATCCTGTTAGGAAGCCATCAGTGATTGCAGTGATATTTAGCCGTAGAAGACATTTTAAATCGAGCCTGCTACATAAAATATTCTGGTAAACACTACCCAAACTCTGCATTGGTTTAATAATAAAGTTTAATCATTTTTACTGTTGCACACAGTCAGAGTCGCCTGAGAAGAAGGCGACACTGTTTTTATCACGACAGCCTTATTTCTAATGACCCATCAAAAAGCGGAGGAAACTTAAATGATGCTGATGCTTGTTTACAGCAATGACATTCACTTATTCGCATTATCCGCATATTCATTGTCCCTGAGTTTTGTCTGTTTTGTCACTTCTGTGGTTTGGGGGATGAAGCCGGAGTCTAAACGTCAAAACTCTACATCCAGCCTCAGTCACATAAACACTCACGACATCTGGTTAAAACATCATCTTCACGTTATATTTTCTCTCATTTCAATTTGATTCCCACGCAACCATGTTTATTTTAGAGCCCATTTCACCATGTTCACATAGCCTATATGTTCAATTTATGGGGCAACACTGCAGCACAGAGTCCATGGTAAACTAGCAAAAAAAGATATTGGACTGGAGGTTTTTTATTACTTCAATCCAACTAATTTCATTTTTGTTGTTTCTGTGAGTCACCAGAGTTGAATACAGGCTGGAGAGGTCCTACATGCATGAAATATCAGACCTGGAGCTTTCTTTACATCGAAGGCTGATGAATAAGTGAATAAGTTTTGGTCAGATCAGCAAACATGATGGAGAGAGTCAGTTTCATGTTTAAATGCTGCAATCACACAATTTTAAAAAAAATAAGCCTTTAAAGTTGCAGGAGAGCAAAGCGCAGCTTGTTTTGTTACAGTTAAAATCACATTTATAATAATCAACCCCTCTCTGGAAGCATCAGCTGAACAAGTTGTCAGTTTGGGGTTTTAAATCGATTATAATCCTTTAGATTTTATAGCAGATTATTCAATTTTAATTCATTTTAATTGCATGACATGCTTTTTAATAATTTATTCTCCTGAGCATTTAAAAGTGACAAACTTCACTAAAAGTCAATAATATTGACTTTATGAACAACATTTGCTTTTTGTGCCGTGATGTTATGGACATGAGGACTGGTTCCTCTGTCAATGTCTTGTCTGTGCGCTTCACGTCGCCTTTTCGCAGGCAGAAGCATGGATCTGGTCTTCTGACCCTGTGCGCGTCTTTTCCGGCTCGAATCCGTTCTCCCCTGCTCTTCGCGTTTTATCGCTCCAACAAAACCACATCACGAGTAAATCCATCCCCGTGCGTGCGTCTGTGCGCCTCATCTGATCTCTACCTCTGCGTATGTCTCCTAGATCCCCTCCAGAGACGCACCGTCCTGTGCGCCCTGCCTGTGCGCCACACAGCTGTTTCTTATACCAGCTCTCTGCGTCTTCAGACCTGTCAGCAGCGCTCACAAGCTGCTCCGTCATGCAGCTCACATGAAACCTCGGAAATCCATAAATTAAACAAGTGACTCCGAACACACACTAAAAAATTCTATAATATTCTTTTAATGTCTGTGTTCGCCTGAACTCAGCGGTGACGCTATTACGCACAGTGATTGGCCTGTTTTACAACATCCAACTTATTTATTGCTGCAACTTCCGTTTTTAAATGTGTTAGCTGGTTATTAAATACGCTGAAGATCCGTTTTCACAGAAGTCATTGTTCCCTTTAGCTTTTTATAATTAACCTGAAATTAAAAATTAAACTCGAAGGTCAAATAAAATAAAAAAAACACATTTTGAAACGTGAAACAGACTTGTCTTGTTTTGTACTTTATATACTTTTAAATTGCTTTAAAGCCACATTTCCTCTAAATTCACCATAAGACTACATCATTCTGACTCTGGAGAATTTTAAAGATAAACTGTCTATAATTAATTATTAGAGAGAGGAAATTTTGGTTTTCAACTGACTCCAATTTAATGCGTAAAGAAGAAAAAGCGAAGAATATACGACTGGAATAAATAAAAAAACACATAAAGGCTGCATGATAGAAAGTATGTGTCTTACTCATATATTAACGATTCATTAAAAAACTGTATTTCCTCTCTGGCTGCACATCACGCTGCAGTGTTAAAGGAATAAAAAGCTAAATGCCATGCGTCCTCCTCTGCTCTGGTGCCTCCATGTGCCCAGCAGCAGCAGCAGCTCTTACCTGCATGCCCGATGTCCTCTGCCATCCGATCTAAGTCTCCCTTAATGATCATCTCAGCAGCCTCCAGGAGTCATATCTGACGTTTCAGCTTTCAACTGCCAGCCTCCAACAAAACCATGCCAGTTTTCCGAGCGCGTCTGCCAGCGCTTTTTTTTATGATTATTAATTGATATGAATTTCTTGTCGCTCCTGAGGTCCGTCCTCCCACCCACTTTCCTCCCTCTTTCTCCCTCTGCCCCTCCTCTCCCCTCTCCCTCTCTCATCCACTCCTAAAAAAAAAAAAAATACGTGCTCAGACCAGCATCAGTTTCCTCTTGTTTTTTTTTTTTTCTAGTAATTTCCTTAGCTATTTTTGAGTCAGAGCAATAACGCGCACCGGGATGATAATGGAGCCTCTATGCGCCTTAAGTGTTTTAGCGCCCCGTGTGATGTCAGTCTATAATAAAACTAAAAGGTAAAATCGAGGGCAGGAACTTCGAGTGACCCCGACTTGAACTTCTCAACACATCGTCTTAAAGAGACAGACAGCGAGTGTATACATCGAGATATATGTTCCATATTTATGATCAGCTGCAACTCAACTGAGGAGAGGAGTTTACTGATGGAAATGAATCAAACATCCTCCAGAACTTCACTATGTTTACTTTTAATTTGGGCCTCAGGGACAATTAATTCTATGTTATTGATAAAAACAAATTCTTGTTCAACTGCAGCTGTTCTGTAATAGTTTTAGATAAAGTATAATCATTCATAATCAGAAATTAAGGTGTCACCCACCTTCCCTGCAGGAATCCTCTGAGAACATGCAGGGGCTTTAAGAGGCCCCCTGGCTTCACTTAAAGACCAGAATAAGATAAGTGGAAACTGAAGGGAGGTTTGATAAAAAATAAACCTGAAACCTCCCTGTCTCTCAGGTAAAGCACCATCACCTGGACATGGATGGATGACTGTGTCCTCTCACACACAAGGGCCTTTTTGCATTTAGATAACTTCAGTAATGTGCCTCCCTACTTAAAAAAACCTTATTTTCCTTGAGCATTAATTTCAAAATATTTTGATGCTAAGAAATAAAAGAAGGCAGTTGTATGCGTAAAACACGGAGTCCACTGTGCTGTCATTAAAATAAATTATTCTAATTTTGTTAAAATAAATTCTCCACCTTCTAAGGATATTAAAACTAATATTAAATATTTCATGTGCCTTTTATAAATTGTAAGCTTGTTTCTGTCTTCACACCAACATCTTGTAGCCTACATATAAAAAATGATGGTTTAATAGATCAGGGGTGATATTTAAATATAAAACATGTCTAACAAAGTTTATATCAGATAAGCTTTAGGCCGGATATGACAATATGATCCAGATGTTCATTCTTAGTCACTACAGGCTTCACCAGGAGCATCGCCTCAAATCTAAATATACATTAAAAAGCATATTAAAGTAGGATAAACTCGTTATCATGGAAGTCCACAGTCTGCTGCTCATTCTGACACTGCGCACGACCACACGTCTGCGGGGATGTCATCCCTGCCTCTCCGCCGGATCCCACTCTTACCTCGGACTCATGTCTGGTGCTCTGGCCGTGTGTCTGCTCTCCTTTTCGGCATTCCCTCAGCAGAGATCTCCGCCGTTTCCTCCACGTCCGGCTCCTCCGCAAAAAAAACCTTTTCTTCCGCGTAAGTTTGCGGCCCTGTATCTCTCTCTCTCTCCCCCCTCTCCCCTTCCTTCAGCCTCTTCTGTACACTGGGTTTCTCACGTGTTAACGACACTCTGACACTTCAGACAGTTGTTGGGTCCGGTCGGACCAAAACCTGCCAGTGGAGACTTTACGCGCACAGCGACACCCAACGGCAGCGACTCCCACTGGCTTTAAAAAGGTGGACAAGAGGTGCGGGCATGTTTGGATGAATTCACTGGAAGCACAGCTATGACTCTTAATTCTGAAAGACACACAGGGAACTATAAACCTGTAGCAGGTCAGCCTCGTAACTGTTTTGCAAATTATAGGTTTGTAACATGAGTTCAGGTGAATAAACCTTTAGTGATGAATATTCTTCATATTCACAAAAAAATGTGCAGTGGTAGAAGAAGGATTTAGGATTTAACTTAAATATATTTTACTACAGTAAAAGTGGAAATTCATTAAAAAGTACTAAAGCAACTAAATGCATCAAAGTACTTTTTGTATTTTTGGCACTTTGACCCCTGCTTATACTAATATATTTTCTGTTATTGAATCAATATTATAATGCATTAATATACAACATATTATTTTAATGTCATAATCAAACAGGTTGTAGCTGATTCAAACTGCTTGAGACCTTCGCCTAGTAATGTTATATTTATGATTTATGTGTAAAATAGTAATTTTAAAACTAACTAAAGCTTAATTTAGTGGATTACAAAGTTCAATTTTTAACTGATGAAGAATAAACTTGAATGAAATGTAATGATAAATTATGAGTTCCACAAAAAAAGTACTTTCAACTAGTAAAATGACCATGTTGCAATAATGTTGCAGCTTCAGAGCTTTGTTGTTATTGTTTTTCATAATCACCACTTGAGGCTGGTTTATTTCAACTTGTGTGATAGAAAGCATCTCTAAAATGCATTCTGCTGCTTATTGATTTCAGTGCTTTTGAAAAAGTCGATTGTTATTCTGTGTGTACACTGGAGTCATTCACTTTCTACAAACAATACTTCTAACTCGTGTTTAATCCACCGTATTTAAGGGATTATATCAGACATGCTCCCAACTTGAACTTTTTCCTCAGCCGTCCAGAGATCCCTTTGAAAGGCCGCAGCTTGGAATAGATGGGGCTAATTATTTTACCATCACTGAGGTCATCAACAGACAGCCAATGTGATGCACACTCACTAGGCAGAGGCCCATTCACGTTTGTTTTGATCACAACAGCAGATGACAATCTCGTGAAGCATGCAGACCCTCTTCCTCTTGAAATGATCCAAGCTGTAGGTGCTGCCGTTTCAATGAGGTGATCCGAGCCACGCAGGGAGCCCGCTGGCGTGGAGGAAGGTATTGTCTCTCACTTCCATGTTCTCTCGATGAACCGAGGATAACCTCATGGACACATGTAGGCAGAGCTGTGCGGGAGAATGGATATGTTCTATCAAGGATGTGACAGCGTGTTTCAATTCATGGTCCAAAATAGTTTTTTTCCGCCAAGGGAAACATACAGTGATGTCATACACTGCCTGTCAGGTGGGTTACGTCTTTGACATAGTTTGATTTCTTTCTGTTTTAGATTACACACCTCTAAAGCACTAAAATCATGGTTTGTGGTGTTCTTTAACCAATACGTTCCCAAGACTGAATCCTTGAACTATAGTGTTTGCATCATGTGATCATTGGCATTTTTTGTTTGTGTCAAAAAAATTTCCTTTTTGAGATAACTACAGCTATTTGTAAAAAATCGGTGTATTTTGCATTACATTGAGTTGACGGGTTATGCATGTGTAGATCTTAGGTTTGTATAGAAAAGGTCATTAAAGAACAAGAGTCCAATTGAAATCTGTGGTGTTTTGTAAATAGCATTGCACCTACAATAGGCTCACAACCAATAACACAGGCAAAACCCATTAAGTGCAACAACATACTTTTATCATTAACTCCTTTAAATAACTTACATTTAAGTTTGACACATCAAACTAAGCCTTTTTGACAAGGAGAATACAAAGAATCCTGATCTTCCAATGTTCTGATAGTGAACTCCAGTTACGACAGACAGAGTTAAAGGCAATATAAAAAAAGTTTGATATTGTTAACATTGGTACTTAACCTATATTTGAGAGAGGGATAGAGCTCGTCAAACAGCATGAAATTAACATTGGTAAATTTCTGCTTCTTTGTTCAGCTGTTGTCTTCCCAGACAGACTTTATCTCACTAATCAATCAGCCTCCAGAGGCCTGTGCAGGACATTAAACTTCAGCCTGTCAAAACACAGTTTAACATACCGTAATCTGGAGCACAGCAAACCTGAAACACTGAACTTCTAATGAACTGAAAAACAAGAAAAAGCCTCCAAATTGCAGGTTGTAAGCAATGATTCAATTAAAGCTGTGAGAGCTGGGCCCCGAGTTCGGCCCTGGGATCTTGTGCCAAAGCGACTTCCCCTAAGACCAACACTCAGTGAAGGAACCAGAGCTGGAGATAAGGCAGGCAGAGCAGCTAAATCTTCCAACAGTGTGCTGTCACCCTCTAAATCACACACCTTTCCCACCATTCTTCCAAGTGCGAGCACTTCAGGTTTTTACATGTGACATATATCTTGCAGAAGCTCGCTGGATGTGGAAACACAGCGATGGGGTGAATATTCTGAATGACTGCGGCCAAGTTTCTCAGACATCTGCGAGCAGATATGTTGCAGGGTCACAGTGTCTCCGAAGCCCAAAGCACCTTGTTCCAATTTAGGTTTGGAGTGACGAATATTGCAATCACCTTATTATTGCTCCATTTCTGTCTGCCAGCAGAGAGACAGAGCAGGACTGGACAATAGACAGGACAGTATGAAGGTAATCTTAACACCTTGAAACAGAATTGTCTTTGCACACACGGCCTCTTTCTCTCTCTCCATGTTTCTTTCATTCTCATCAATCATCCCTCTTTCTTTTCTTTCTTTCTTTCCAGTGGACATGGCCACACATATCTCCAGATGCTTGCTGTGACCGCCCCCACCATACCAGACACACACCCCTCCAGCTTCGGATTCTCCTCGCCACCAAAAATTGAACGGTAGGCTCAACATTTACACACAGGCCTCTCCTAATTCATCGTAATGAGCGGTTTTGCGACAGCTTTAGAGTATAGGCGTGCAAGGCATGTCATTTGAATGAGCAGAGCTGTTGTGTGCGTTTGGTCGCTATTCTAGTTCACCCATCTGCTGGTGATGGACAATTATCATGCCATGATTAGAGCCAGATCCAATTTTATTTTCACAAATGGAAACATATGAATGCAAAACAGTTTTTGGTTTTGAAAACACTCATATTATACAATGTTTCATTGCCCAAATATTTTTTGCACTCTTGCCTTTTTCAGTGTTTTAGCTTGTTTCCAGTTTCTATGTAAACACTGGAAACAAGATTACGAGAGAAATGCATATGATAAAACGCATAAAATATATTAATGTTTACTCGTGTCTGCCAACTTAATGGTTTGACGTTTTGGAAAACACATTTATTTCCTCTCTTGCCAGGAGGAAATGAGAAGATCGATACCACTCTCATGAGAGTTATATTGATCTGCTCATCTAATTCACAGCAAGAAAGAATTAAGCTGTCCAAAAACTTTAAGCTTCTCCTTTAAACTAACACTGGGTACAACACAGTTAAATCTGTTATAACATCCAGATGGAGGCTGAGAACATTTTGGGAATTGACATTTTCTTCTTATGTTATGACACTTGTAAAGTTATGAGGATACTGACTGCAAAATAGTTTCATATTTTAAACTCTAAATGAAAAAGGGGATTCTTTAATTTTAAATTCTGTGTTTCAGGGCATTTAAAAAAAAATAGGGCATTAAGGAATGAAAATAAGATGTGATACAACCTAAACATTGCGCAACACCAGCAGAAACAAGCTCAAAACGCAATAACCCCCTTTATTATCACATTTATATGGTATATAACATCAATAATATTACAATGAATTAGTTAAAACAATTTTAAACAATTAATTCTGCCACATCCATTCACTGATTTGTTCAATGAACTTCTCCAGCAACGTGAGGGATTACAGTCACCTGATGACACTGTTGTGCAATGTTGTGTGTGAGGCAATAGGCATAATTATGATAGGAGATATCATAATAATACATGAATACAGGCAATCATAGATGTTAAATAGAAGTAGCTCCAGTTGGGATCCTTGTGGAACTCTATTATCTGGAATACACACTGTCAAACATCTGATGCTATGCAGTTAAAACATCTTTTAACGATCTTTAAAGAAAGTTTTATGTGTCAAGTTGACAGATAGTGGGCTAATAATGCCAAGAATTCGTAATCTAGGAGATGCAAATCTACTAAATTAATGATTTTTGTAGAAATAAAGGCAGAGCTGGTGTAGGTGCAAAATACTTGATAAATACTATACAGTTGTTTTTGCAACGATGGGTTAGATAAGGACCCTTTTTTGAGTTGTGTGTTGTATTCTTTGTATGTGTTGACAGTTTATTTTGCTCTGTTTGATTCCTGTTTTGCCAGGTGTGTGAGGGTCAGAGCAGCAGGGCGATCAGGCAAAGTGACAACAGGTTTGCAGGATCAGGTCTCTGAGAAAGGACAGACTGGGCAGACTCAAGGTGACAGAGAATGGGTGAAGTGTGCTGCATTAGATTACATTTGAGTCAACCTATTGCATGTATCTTCTGAATCTGTGCAGATAGATTGAATTGTGAGGTCAGCAGTAACCCAGAGTCCAAACTTGGTCTTGTCTTGAGTGTGGTTTCTATTTGTCTTTCTGTTTAGCTCACCTTATATTTACCAGCGCAGGTGGTAGGTTCCAGGCAGGTGAGGCTATAAAGCAAAAATGCCAGTCAGTAGTGAAACAGGGGGGAGGAGTCTGCAGCTTGGGGTGAGGCTGCAGCTTTTGTTGCATTTCCCAGGGATCATTTTGTCTTCCTGTTATACTACTATTTTGTTAATAGAATGCACATTTTTTCCACCTACCCCTGCTTCTTCAGTATTGTTTTTTTTCAAGTTTTCAGTGATAAATAACATCCTTCAGTCCTGTCTG